ATAAATGACAAAAATCAAATTCGAACATGAGGGGCTTGGTTGGTTTTGATGGAAGGGAAGACTATTTCATCTAATTAAATAGTTTTCCTGAAAAAAGAATTTTGGCCTAATGTTTAAAGTAGGAATGATAATCAAGACACAATTTTTTATGTGAAAAACCCCAAAGGGGAAAAATCCATGGGACCTAGTGCAGGTAAAAACGTCCACTATGAAATAACATTCTTACAAAGTTTCTTCTCTAGTAGGACTAGAGACTTACAACAATAATGAAATCTTCTCACCCACTGAATGCCAAAACAAATGCAGCTACTGCACATACTCTTGCAGAAGTCTTTTTGAGGTATTAAGATAACCTGAGAATTATGTCAGAAATAAGAAACAAAACAGAACAAATCAAGCGCCTTGGAATTGGAACCCAAAAGGATTGCCATTAAGAGAAATTCCTGACAATTTGAGAACTCACCAGCTTTATTTATGAACTCCGAGTGGCATTTGATAATATTTGATTTTCCTTCTACAAGCAGATGCTGTAATAGATCTCCATCAACACTAATTTCATCTCTTGAGGCTTCAATTCCTGGGTCGACAATAGTGGGATAACTTGAATCAACTCTCAGCTGGTAACATACATTCAAAGAAATGACAAAGTTTCATTAAACTTTACATACCTCCTTAAGTCCATTTATTATTGGATTAAGGGAAATTTTGGAACATTCACCAATGCTCTCTCAAATGCGTCTTTCCTCTGATAGGAACAATCATAAGAATCATGAAACTAGACCTTTGATTGTTATTTTGTTGTAGAGACATTGGGTTCATGGCTCCTGCAAAAGTACATACATCAAATTAGTGCAAAACCCAGTTCTCAGCTCCTGAAAAGGGGGTCTCTTCACCATTCTAACAAACCTTCCTCTCCATCAAAATTGAATATTTTGACAAACCCTAAAGCCAATGAGATGCAGAAGTTGATGCAGAAAGACTTTTTTTTTTTCTTCTACTGCATACATCTGAAGAGACCAACAGGAAACATGTAATTGGTTGGAAAGTTATATGAAAGAGTGCACTGCTGATCTCTATATAATCAGAAATTAAGCTGCCATTAAAGAAAACATTGGCCACAACCATGTCATTGTGCAGCAAAACTCCATTTCAACTCTTTTTTCCGCACTGAATGCCAAAACAATTACATTTTGAGTTTCTTCACTAGATAGAACTAGAAACTTACAACAATAGTAAAATCTTTGAAAAGGAATCTAGCATCCCAAAATTTTTTTTCCCACATTGAATGCCAAAACAAATGCAGCTGCCGTACAAGTTTTTGCAGTGGTGCTTTTGAGGTACCAAGAGGAACTGTGAAATATGTAAAAAATAAGAACCAAACCAAATA